TGTAATGTGATGATGTTTAATAAATAAATAAATAAATAAATCGGAAGTTCATCTGAGAAGGTGTCGTTCACTTTAGTTTTAATTTTTTGAAACTTTTGAAACTTGAAAGTTTTGTATGTGCTTAAGCATTTTGCCTCTGATTCCAATGAGAAGGCATTTTAGTAGAACTTTAGAGTGGGCTATCTTATCAAAGGCTGCTTCTAGATCCACCATTACCGCTACTGTGGTCGAGTTTGCTGAAAAAGATCTGTAGATCGATTCGGTATTTACTCAGGGGAGGTATAGAAGAGGATACGATGACAGCTGTGAGCTTCTTATTAGCTGAGGGAAAGCCATTACCGTAACAAAACGATGTATAGTCATCGGCCTCGGTGGCCTAATGGTTAGCGTGCCGGGCTGATATGCTGAAGGTCCCGGGTTCAAATCCCGCTCGTGGCGTTAACTTTTTGTCCAAGATTTTTTTATTATCAGCAAGTTTGGTTGGTTTGGTTCGGTTATGACAGTTTAATTTTATTATTAAGTCATTATAAAATTTTAGTAGAGCAATTTCTAGTTTTATTTAATAAACAGAATTTTTTTTTCTATTAATAAACTTTTGTTATATTATTTCATTATCAGCAAGTTTGGTTAGTTCGGTTAGGTTATGATAGTTTAATTTTATAATTAAAAAATAATAAAATTGAATTTGAGGCATTTATAATTTTATTTTATGAACAGAACTATTTTTGCGATTAGTAAACCTTCTTTGCCAAAGTACTCTCTACTACAGCGCTGTTCACAGAGGAATTTTGAACTAATGCCTCATTCGTACCTCCCCTAAGTCAGACCCAGATCGATTCTGTGAAGTGCAGAAGAGCATCTATTGTTCCTCTTCTCGGTCTATATCCAAACTGTTTAGGACTTTTCTTCTTTTTCGAGTCTCCACACTAGTCTCTTGTTGACTAGCCTCTCCATTAGTTTTCCAAGGCAAGAAGTTAAGGAGATAGGTCCATACGATCCGGGTAGGTCTGCGTCTTTTGTAGGTTTCAAAATCGGTATGATAGTGGCTTTTCCAATTGTGCGGGATGTTACCTGAGCTCCAGATGTCATTGAAAAGAGTGAGTATTTCTTTGAGAGACTGCTATGATAGGTTTTTCAACATGGCATTATGTATGTTGTCATCTCCAGATGTACTGTTTTGGATATCCGATAAACCTTGCAGGAGTTCATCCATTGTGAAGGGAGAATCAGCTATGTCGGTATGCAGTGTGAGGAGGTCCAGATTACATGATAAATATTGTTCTTCTCGGGTGAGTTTTGTTGGAAAAGGGGTTGCTTTTGATGACTTTTTGGCAAATTCCGAATTAAGTAGGTTAGTTTCAGCTCTACTTTTTGAGTTCCTTCGTTTCATCCATTTTTTTCTGGCTCTTTGTCTATTTTTTTCTAAGTTCTGTTAAAGTAGGAGTCCACCATATGTTCATCGGACGTGACTTTCTGTTTCTGATCTTGGATATACTAGCTTTAGCTGCAGCGTTGATGGCTTCTTCTATGTTTGTTAATTCATTGCAGTTTTGGGTGGAAAGATGTTTGTCTACTTTCTCTTTGAAAGTATCCCAGTCAGAATTGCTTATCTTGTACTTAGTTTGTGGAGTTGGGTTTTTGTCACTAACATAATCAGAGAAAGTCAGCTTGAAGTGAACTGGGAAATGATCACTTCCTAGATCGGGTCTCACTTTCCAATTTTCTATGTACAATGTCAAGTTTGCTGACACGATGGAAAGGTCTAAGGTGCTGAGCGAGCCAGAGCTAGGAGATTGGTAAGTCAATTCGTTTTCCTTATTGCACAAAATCATATTTTCATTTTGTATCCATTGGTAGACCACTGGGCCGTTTTGGTTGGTTTCTTTATCCCAGTTGGGATGTCTAGCATTGAAGTCTCCGACTATAATGTAGTTGTTGGTCTTGGTTTTAATAGCGTCAAGTTCTTGTAGAGTTACTCCTTGATTTGGTATGCACACATTAACAATGGTTATCTTGAAAGATTCGTTTACTTGTACTTCTGCAGCTGTAGCTTCTATATTAGTGGTTGTAAAGTTAGTAGTGTTGCTTACTGGTAGTGAATTGTGCAGTAGGAAAGCTACACCTCCTCCTCTTCTATTTTGTTTTGAGTGGTTCAACAGAGTATAATTCTGAAGTTTTGGGTGCAATTTTTCGTCTTGATGTAGAAAAGATTCTTGAATGCATATGATCTTTGATTTTGTTTCATCAATTTCTTGCTTGAGATCTTCAAACTTGTTTTTGAGAGATCTAGAATTCTAATGTAAGATGTTGACTTGATTTATCTTCTTCATTTCCCCCTTAAGCTAGCATTCATTTTTCTACACTTCTGCTTTGAGAAATCTTTTCCTAGTCAGTGGCGGATTTACCTACCGCGCCGCTCCTAGGCCCGTTCGGCCGGCCGCCCCTTTGTGTTTCGCGAAAAAGGAAAGGAAGTCTCTCTCTCACGCTTTTCCTTAAGTTTGCGTAATGCTGCACCACTTAACCTTTTTCACTCATTATTTTCTTCATGCATAATTACAAAATTAAAATGATTAAAAAAGTAAAACAACCAATAGCGGTTCCAAAAACAGTTAGTTTTTTCACATATATAAATAAATAGGGCCTGTTATTAATACATTTTACATTTTAGATTAAATAAAAATATATAGGTTATTGTTCTGCCAAAACTTAAATACTCGTAACTTATGACTGCCTTTAACACGTCCACTGTATCATTACAAAAAAGTAATAAATAAGCCTGTTTTATATTGTCATTCAATTATGAGTAGCCTACTTTAATCAAGAATGAATGAAATGGGTGAAATTTTGAGCAATGACTTAATTGCCTTGTTTACTAACCAACATTTTTGCAGGCGGTTGACAACAAAATTCACTATACTGAAAGATTTTAAATTTAACATTAAAAACCGCTAACAATAATTTTTCTTATAATATAACTGCCAGGGCTGCCCCAAGGACGGGGCGTGCAGGGTGGCCCCCTGGGCGCCGCGGCTTTGGAAGGTTAAAAGTTTAACAACGTTATCAGCAAACCGCAAACGAATATTTTACAGGAAACTCATAAAACATGTAATCACACACACTGCGTAAGTGTGTATTCGCCCACACGCCCTAGCCCAACCTACATTTGCTTGATTCTAACCTCAAAACTCAAACTTTTACATCAACTCATAGTCGTTTTGTGATGTCCGTTGTGAGTCGTAAATTCAATGTTTTTAGTAATTTAGTTCGGTGTAGTTGTTACGTTTATAAAAAATACTTGCAAAACGTTCAATATCGATATATTGGACGTTGAGTCTATTGACGCAAACCCCCCAAATACATTTTTGGGTGAGGGGGCAAAAATGTAAATCTTGCGCCAGGCGTCTATTACCACTACCCTCGGGACGGCCCTGATAACTGCCACTGAAATACAACACAGGTACTGGAAATGACACACTGACAGTGCTCGCTACTCGCAGTCGTATGTCTGCATCTGCACGTCGCGACATGAACGTGAGTCGTCCACTTAGTGCCACACGCCCCTCACGCAGTGTGTTTTTCCACAATAGCGGGCACCTATTCATTTAAATACTACTTTAAGTTTTCGAATGTTTTCAAGCTGCATTTTTGCATGAAAAAACCACCCGTGTGGCCACAGCGCCGCAGCCTATTACCACGCGCCCGCCGCTGCCACCGCCGTGCCGCCCGTCACCCGCTGACGGGCCGCGCGCCGCCCCTAGGCACGTGCCTAGTGTGCCTTATGGTAAATCCGCCACTGTTCCTAGTGATATGTGGAAATTTAGCATTTCTTTTGCTTTCGGTTTTAAGGTGTTAAAAATTTCCACAGCTCTTTCTCTGTTAGGGCACCAAATTTCTTTTCTTTTGTAGCTGCTTGTCTCTCTCTCTCTAATTATTAGACTTTTTATCAATATCAATATAGCCCTTAATTGCTTGAGGTTGTCATGACTATTCGATAAGAGTACTTTAAATCTATTTGGATGTTTGCGATTACTTTTCTTATAATCTTGTCCTAAGCTCTTAGAAGAACTGTTGGAATTGTCAACATTCCAACCATGTTTTTGAGAGGGCTGAACTCAAGAGAGCAGCTACTGCTGGCGTTCAGTTCGCTGTATCTGAAAGAAGTATCTCAATAAATGTGCAGTTATTAAATTTGTAAGTAGGAATTTACAGGTCACGGGTGACCGGCGCCGGTCTGTGGTAACGGCGGGCGAAACACACACGCACACACGCAATAACTCCCGTCTACTCCTCAAGACCGTGCCACAATGACTAAGTTTCGCGGCCGGTCCTCAGTGACCGGACTGTACTCAACGTGGTGGCGTAACAGATTTTTTCGGGCCCCCCTCCCATGAGTCATTTTTTGACCACCGATACAACACAATCAAACACCCTCCCCTGGGTTTTTTTGGGCCACCGATACAATTATTAAACAGTTGTTTTATCATAAATTGAGTACGGTAGTAAATAAATTATGGGTAATGTTTCATAAAATGACGTGTTAAGTAAGTTATTTCAGTCATGGTTTGATGATAAAGTTACATCACTACATCATTATATCAATATCAGTGGTTGTAGGCCTAAATAAATAGTTTTAAAATAAAATCAAAATACCTTATTTTTATCCGTATCAGAATGTTTTATATAAAGGAGGTTTGATATTTAATTTATAACACATTTGATAAATAATTAATTTGGTTAGTTTTTATCAATGGTTATTATTATTAACTCAGTGAGAAAAATCTGTAGTGAAATCCTCGTTATATTCAGCAGCTAGTTCTGTTGATTTATCATTTAACTTTTCGTCTGTAGACTACAATAAAAACTCTGGACTTCCATTAGTTGGAAAGACTGAATGAATATACATAATACTTTCATAAAGCTTAACCATTGCTTAACGTTGATGATAAACATGTCATGTATTATATAATTCACAGTGATTCTAACTATTTATTTTCTATCAGAACAACAGCTGAAAGAACAGCATGCCCAGCTGATCTTGGAGAGGCACAACTTGGAGGACAAAGAGAACTCCAGCAAACAACTGTTGCATGAAATTGATACACTGCGCAACAAACATCTGCTCCTCATCGACGAAAACAATGCTTTGAAACTGAAGGTAACATGATGCCTGACTCTTGCTTCATGATGCATAATGTCTGACTTTTAAACCAATTGATTTAAAATTTATAGCATAGATTTACAACGTTGCAATTTGTTGGCTACTATTTTCAGTCCAATAACTTAGACTAGGAAATTTGATTTTAGCGAATTTTCCTTTAGGGAAGTAGCTATTATAGTAGTGGCACGGTAAGACCTAGACCCGGGACTAATATACTTTTTCATTTTGATGTCCCCAGAGGTCAAAAACACTATTCGTTCAAATTGTTACATATGTAAAAAAAAACAAGATATATATATAAAAATAGTGTTTTTGGCCTCTGGGGACATCAAAATAAAAAAAGTAAATCGTTCCCGGGCCTATGTCTTACCGTGCCACCTACAGTATCAGCTACTTCCCTATAGGGAAATTTGCTGATAGAAAATAAATGAAAGAAAACATTTAATATAGTACTAGAGGAACCATGCTGCTCCACAGCATTGAAATAAATATCATATCCGAGAAATAATCAAATTTATGATTTTTGATTGAGTAATACAGTATCTTGAACTTAAATTATTCAAACAATCAATAGCTCAAATTAAAGATTAACTGATTATTTTGAGGCTAAAAAATAAAAATAAAACATAAAAAATACTGGCGCTATTGATTTTTAATCATAGAAAAACCTTAAAAAAAGTAATTTTTATGATGGTTGTTCACCTTGCGTTTGCTTGAAACTTGTCCGATTTGAATAACTAAGAGCTTAAATGAAAGCCAGCATTTCACTGAAGGTTCTTAGATCAAAATATATGTAGGGTTATATAATTACTAGCCGACCCATGCGAAGCATTCGCACTGAATCTTTCTCAAATCCCACATACACAAGTAATCTTCCTTCATGAGAGTTAGGAAGGTAACTTTTAAGGAAAATTTCTTCATAGTCAGTTTGAAAGGATTTCAGACTATTGCCTAGTATGACATTTTGACCGGAGTCAGTGTAGGTGCCCAAGTGAGCTACACCAATCTTGGACCCTGCTTAGGTTTCTTATCAACATGATAATAGTGTTCTCTACTGTTGTTTTTACTGTGATTCAGTGTATCGGCAGCAATGTTTACGTAGCGGCGAGCGTTAGTTCAGCTCCTGGCGCCGTCCCGGCATCTAAGGGTCAGCAGCGAACGTGTTAAACATTCCTTCAACACAACAATAACCTTCAGATATACAACAATACACAACAATGCAAAAATATACAAATTTGCAAATTGCACAGTCAAATAATTGATTTCAACATTCTAAGACATAACGAAAAAGTCTCAATTAATAGGTAACGTTATCCCTGATTTTATATACTATACAGTAGGCTACATTGTTGAATTCACTGGCAAATAAGTAATCCAAATGAATAATGCGTATTGGCTTAGTGATGAATCACGATCAGCAGTATTGAAGTAAACAAAAATCAGCAGTAAATGGCTTCTAATGCTTTTCTTATGGAGAACATTTTACGTTATATTTTATTTTGAGTAAAAATTTGGGGAATTTCACTATTTTTCCCACCGTCATGGGTTCGAGACCTTAAATTTGAGCCCTCTCCCATCGTTCTGTGACTTCCCAGTCGCCCACAATTTTGAAGCAAAGAATCGTCTTACGTAATTAATTTATAGATGTTGATGATGGCATACCGACAAAAAAGTACTAAGAAATTATATCTATATTATTTATATGCTACATAAAACTTTGTAAACAATAAAGCTTTTTTGTTTTAAGATTTAACCCCACATATTATATACCAAAATGTTCGTCTAGGTGTGTAGATTTGCAAACTGGCCTTACATTTTTGAAAAAGTCCCTTGGACATTGTCCTGGTGGCTTTTAAGGTTCCCATGTTATCCTTATGAAGAACAATTTGATATACTAAAAAGAAAACTGAAATAACACTGTGCTGCATTTCTTGAGCAATCATTGAAAGAGCCGATTTGCAAACTACAGTAGAACCTTGCTAAACCGTCACCTATGGGACCGGGAGCATGGTCGGAACAGCAAAAAGGTCGGATTATCAGAGGAACGCGTTTATTGACATAAAAACTTCGTGAAACTGTATTTTGAACAGACCACAGATAACTGATAACCACGGTTAATCCAACATCACATAAAACAGTTATTTCCAACTCATAAACAACACACTAATACTAACGGTATAAATGGACTTTGAAGTGATATAATTTGCTTATTACATCATAAAAATACAATTTGTAGGCTATTGCACAATCATGATAATTATGTTATCTCATTAAAGGATCAAGAATCAAGAATTTTTATTTCCATAAAATGCAGTTACATTACTGGAAAACGTCAGTACAACTACAGCTAAAATAAAAACTAAAATAAGACAATGGTACAAGGTTTCTTACCAATATAAAGAATTAAAATTCCTGAAACTCTCCATGCAGAGAGAAAAAAACAGCACACAACACTCGGTTAAAAACTAAGAAAAACTACTTACATATTCTTCTTTCAGATCAAAAAATTCTTTATTTTTGTACAAAGGGTTTGTCAAAAGGAGCCCCTCAACCCCTTTTCTGAATTTTGGGTCTGGCAGGGTCCGAGCTACAAAAGGAAGTTTATTAAAAAACTTATAACTAAGAACATCATATGACATCTGAACTTTACTTATATAGGGATGGATGTCGCCTCTCAGCTCAAGAGAATCCCGTCCCTTCTTGATTTTGATCAAAGACTGAAAAATATAGAGGTTACAAACCGTCATTAAGCTCTCAGCTACAAATATGGGTTTACAATAATCCAAGTAATCAGCACCAGCTACTACTCTAACTGCTTTCTTTTGATAGCGCAGAACTCTCTTGACCCCAGAGGCGGCACCCCAGAGTCTTAGACCATACAATAAAATACTCTGAAAGAAAGCAATATAAGCAGTTTTCAGCCAGTCCTTTGGTACAAAATATCTCAATCTTCTAAGTAGACACAGAGCTCTGGAAAGTCTAGCACAAACATGGCTAATCTGGTCATTCCAATTTACTTTATTGTCAAGATGTAAGCCTAGAAGTTTGACAGATTTCACACTATGTTCTAAGTTTCTTAGGCTAAAGATTATTGACTTAGTGAAATGAAATGAAATGAAATGAAATGAAATAATATTTTATTTCCCATAAATTATTTACAGACAAGTACATTGTATTTTTTTCTTTTCTTAAATATGAAACAGCAAAATATTACTAACTAGATAACAAAACAAAAATTATATACTGTAGAAATAAGTAAATGAAAGTGTAAAAAAAAAATACATTCTATAAGAAAGGAAAAAGTCTACATAGGCAGGGCCTGTGCGTAGGCTGAGTTGCGAAAAGATTAATTTAAATGGGAAGTAAAAAATATATAGGAGAAAAAAAATTTTATAATTTAAACCTTTTTTTTATTTGTCTTGCTTGAAGCTGAATTTTTAGTGTTCTGGAATAAATTGACGGTAAAAAAAAAAAACTCTGTGCAAACAGAGGTAATTTATAATATCTGGTGAAGATTGAAGAGGAGAGGTGGGGTGTAGTGTATAAGTCAGTCAGTGAAAGTGGTGTATCAGTGATTGTGTAGGGTCAACGGTCAGGTCCGCCCAACGCGATAACGGCCTCGGTGTCCTCTGTACTCAGACCAACAAGCCACCCCACAACATGCTTCTTAAATAGAGAGAGAGAGGGTGAATTTAGAATGTTGACATTTTGATATCTGTTACACATGTTACGATAAATGATTTGGGTTAGGTGAAAGCAATTCGTATTTGAAAATGATTTGAAAGTTTGTGGAACACTTACACCAACATTTCGAGAAAAGCGCGTATTGTGGGGATGAGTAATTTTTACAAAAATATTATCAAAGTTTTTGTACATGTGAACTAAAATAAATTTTAAAAATAACTGCCTGACTGTCAAAACTCCCGATTCTACAAAAAGATCGTCAGTTGAATATCTAAAGTGTTTTTTAAAAGCAACTTTAAGTATTGTTTTCTGCACTACAAAAACAGGTTGCAAGATAGTTTTGTAAGCACCACCAAAAGCAATAATTCCAAAAGACAACAATGATTGAACATATGCATAGTATGCTATTTTAATTTCTTGCTCTTCGAGAATATCACTAAGTTGCCTAAATGCATAAATAAATATATTTACGTAATTTATTTTTTAGGTATTCAACATGTTCCGACCATTTCATCTTTGAATCAAAAACAATACCAAGATATTTGTATGAATCAACTTTTTCAATTTTGCTACAAAAACAAGAGTTATTGAAATGATTTCCACAGACATGAATAGTTAGGTTATCAAGTTTGTATTCGGTTATCTTGCGTAATGAAATTGGCATAAATTTTGTTTTAGATATATTAAGGGACAATACATTTTGATCAAGCCATTTTTTTAGTAAACAGAGGTCTGATTCTGCCTTGTTTTTAACCTCCTCCCAGGATGCTCCGGTTACAAATATTAGAGTATCATCAGCAAATAATGTTAATTTTCCTTCTGTTTGAATTTTAGAAATATTATTAATATAAATGAGGAATAAAACAGGACCAAGGGTCGAACCCTGGACTACACCATACTCCACTGGCAATACATCGCTTGCCACTTCACCAAGTGCGACAGTTTGCAGCCTATCAGAGAGGTAGCTGCTGAACCAAGCGAGCGAGGTGCCGCGCACCCCGACAAGCTCAAGTTTACGCAACAATCTACTTCTGTCCACTGAGTCAAAAGCTTTTTTCAAGTCTAAGAAAATTAACATGCTTCGTTTGTTGCCATAAATTGCCTCGTTAATGTATTTATTAATATCAAATAAAGCATCAGATATGTTTTTGTCACTCCTGAAACCATACTGATTTTCACTTAAAATATTGCACTGGTGGAGGTAAAAAACAAGTTGGTCTTTGGCAATTTTCTCTAAAAGCTTAGCAATTACACTTAACAAAGAAATCGGACGATAGTTATTCATGTCTGTGAAATCATTAGATTTGTGCAAT